ATAAAGAAAAACAGCCATGTTGGCCATCCAATTTGTTTTAAAACAACAGATTTACCTTTATAATTATGAGCCAGCACAGGTTCCTGCTAGAAGGAGCTGGCCTTTGCTCCAGCCCTTCTGCTCAGAATAATCCCTCCACCTGACCTTAAATCCCCAGGGCTCCAGAGCTCGCCTCAGCCTTCAAGGCCTCACTCAAATCTTACTTCCTCCAAGAAGCCTTCCGGTTCCTCTGTCATTTCTCCTTCCTCCAGCTTCCCTCCAGCACTGCAGTACAGCCCTTTTTCAAAGGCAGCCTCGCCTGTCTCCGCTCCCTCTAGAATGAAAGCTTCCAACAGGCGGGCTTAGGGCTTAGCTGTTCGGTCCATTTCCGCGGCCCCTGGACCTAGCACGGTGCCTGGCGTCGTGGCCTCCTCGCCAAATTCTCATTTGTGATTGTCCAGTGTAATGGACTCCTCTGCCCACAACTCCAATTCCCAGCGCATTTAGGGGAACGCTTTAAGGTCAGGGGGAGTCCACATTCCGGGGGCCTTGGAGAAGCCCCCTGCGGGCACGGACTTGCTTGCATTGGGGGACGCATCAAACCTGCTGCGTGGGCAGAATGAGATAGTGGGGGAATAAAGGATTCCTTCAGCCCCCCCAATTCGGTCCCTGGGCCCTCCAAGTGTGAGACCAGAGAGTTGAGGTCTGTCGGCTCTCTGGCGCTGGCTCTCTGGCGCTGGCTCGCTCGCTCGCTCTCTCGCTCTCTCTCTTCTCTCTCGCTCTCCGTTCACGTGACCGCCTGCTCGCAACGGCTCCGATCACCTCTTCCTGAGGCTGGCTGCACCTTTCGGTTGGTAACAGGAGACACTCGGGTGTTGGGGGCAGGATGGGTTTCCTTCCTTCGCTTTTTCCTCCGCGCCTTCTCCGGCAGCTCCGGCCGCTCCTCCCGGCCCGGCCTCCACCCCTCCAGCCTCTCCCAGCCCCCACAGTGCGCGCTCCCTCTTCCCACCCCTCCCCTCGCTGGGGCCTCCCTCCTCCCCGCAGCCTGCCTTCTTTGGGGAGGGGGCTTGGGCTCGGGGGACAGACAAAAGGGCAAGGAGGGACTCGGGGCACCCCTCCGCAGCTCCCCACCACGTGGCTCCTCCCTCCTTTGGCTGGGGACAGCCCCCTCCCCTCCGCGGCCAGAACTCTGGGGAGTTCGCTCCCCCCCCACACACACACCCCAGGCATCCTTTCCGGGCCTCCTTCGCGCCAATCGTTCCGCCACGGGTGCTGAGCCTCTGGGCGCCCGGAGTACCAAGGAATGCACCCGGCGCGGGTGGGGGAGCCGCTCCGAGGGCGGAGGCAGCGCTCTCGGTTTTCAGGGTGGAAAATGGCCAGCCTAAAGGAACACACATCGGACCCCGTCGTCGGAAGGCTCCAGGCCCATGAAGGTGACAAGATCTCCAACCCCTGGGAGCCCCGAGTCTGATGGGAGAGACCCAGCGTCTCTCCCTTTTGCACTCCACACTCAGTCAATAAGGACGAAGGCAAAAGTGTACTGAAAGTGCCCGCACCAGACTGTGTCTCCCTGCCACCCTGCCCAGCACTTACCAACCGCTGCTCCCCAGCCTACCCACCGGGCTGCCATAACTTGAAAGTAAAAGCTCCCTCCCGCTCCACACAAGGACACATTTTTAAAGGAAGGCAGGCCACTGAAGATCGAAGTTATCAAGTCCATCAGACCAAACTGTCTCCATGCCGCCTCACTGTAAATGCACCCCTCGCCCATGGCGTGCCGTCCCAGATACCAGTGTGTATGCACTGGAGAGCCCATGGAGGGCCTGTTTCCCTGATAACCCCCCCCCACCAGCTGACCACTTAATACCATTTTAGTCAATAAAACTAAGTCCCCTCAGGGGATACTGCCTGTGGCCAGAGCCACACTTGCTTGCACTTTCGGCACAGCCCTGGCCACTCCGATAACAAATGATCCCAATGCTGGGAGGGGACGGGTGCCAGGAGGAATTCCACTGCTCCAGCATCTCGGGGAGGGACTAGAGCTGAGAGGTGGCCCGGCCTTGACAGTTACCAGGAGACTTGCACTGGCTCACAGCAAAATGGGAGAACGGTCACCACAGCGACTGTTTATCAGTCCTTACAAAGTCCCAACTACACAGCACGCAGCAGCTTTAATCCCAGTAACAGTCTCATGTGGCAGGCACTATTATTATCCCCCCTGCTTAGCAGAAAAGGAAACAATGGCTCAGGGAAGGTAACTTGAAGAGGTCACACAGCTGGGGAGTGGCAGAGCTGGGTTTGGAATCCAGGTCTGACCAATGCCCAGGTCCAGTTCTTTCCCCGCGACATTATTCTGCCTCTTTGCCACGTGGAGTGATTCTAAAACTCACCCGGATGGACCAGAGAGAACCATGGACCAGGACACTGCCTGGCCGGTGAACTGGCGACTTCCAACATTGGGGAGGGGTCAGAAGAGGCCCCAAGTCATCCTGCTGGGCTTTGTAGATTCCTAGATTCCTAACCCGGAAGCCATCGGGACATTCTATCTGCCCATCCCTGCACAAATCATCCCACTTCCGGTTTCTGCCTTTCCTGGGTAGAGGGAAGGTAGAGGTTTGCAGGACGCCAGGCCATGGATGAGTTTCTTGGCTGGTGTTGTGGGGGTGGGCTTGATAATGGACCCCCACTGCCCTACCCCCAGTCTTCCCTGGAGGGTGGACAAATAGGCCCATTGATTCGAAACTCTCCCAGAGGGTATTAGAGTAATGACTCTGGACTGTGTGATGCCTGCACCCCCTTTGACCTCCTGACTGACCCCTGCCCTGGGAGGTTCCAAAGGCCACAAATCTCTGTTGCTTGTGGGCCATGTGGTTTGTGGCTGTTTGTAGTTTTGGAGGGGCGGGGGAAAGGAGGAGGGTAGGGGGACATTGCTTCTCACTGTGCGGGTCCCCAAAGCACCCACAAGGGGCAGGCTGGGCCCCTTCCAAGCCCTGCCAAGACACACTGCAACTACTGATACCGGCTCCATCATTTATTTTTAAAAGCAGCAAGGCTCTTGGTTCATTTGCATAAATGTTTGCACTGCCTGCTATATTTTGGTTTGGGAGAAGGGCACCAGGGCACAGAATATACTCAACAGATTTGTAACTGGGCAGCTTGATTCTACCCTGGGGGCTGGGGTTGGTGACTTAAGCAGCCAGCCAAAGATGGCCCCTTGCTCAGTGCGAAGCCCAGCACCAGGACTATGTGACAATAGAAAGATCAGGCCCCTAAGCCACGTGTTTAGGTGGATGGGTAGAAAAGGCAGCATTTTCACTTCAAAAAAAAAAAAAAAAAAGCTGAGAGGGGGTATAGCGGGTAAAGCCACTGCCTGCAATGCTGGCATCCCATATGGGTGCCGGTTCCAGTCTTGGCTGCTCCTCTTCTGATCCAGCTCTCTGCTATGGCCTGGGAAAGCAGTAGAAGATGGCTCAAGTCCTTGGGCCCCTGCACCCACATGGGAGACCCGGAAGAAGCTCCTGGCTTCCGTTGGCCCAGCTCTGGCCGTAGTGGCCATTTGGGAGTGAACCAGCGGATGGAAGACCTCTCTCTCTCTCTCTCTCTCTCTGCCTCTGCCTCTCTGTAACTCTGCCTTTCAAACAAATAAATAAATAAATCTTTTTAAATAAAAAGGCTGAGAGTCTGGACTCCTAGTTTCTATCATTCAAAAAGTATTTCCTGCATGTCTTCTATGTGCCAGGCATCTTTCAGGCACTGAGATAATAAGCAGCAAGCCTCCGCCTCGGTCATGGACATACTCTAGCACAGGAGACAGAAACATAATGAAATGGCTCTAGTGTGGTGTGCCATCCAAGAGAGGACTGCTAAAATAGTCTTCCCTGATGGGGAGAGGCTCTGGAGAGACTTGGTGGGAGATACAGTGGCTAAATCCGAGTCTTAAGCATCTAGCCCACTCCCCTACCCACACCCCCACCCCCACCCCCGCATTCCCAAGCTGTGTTTTAACCTCTGGTAGCAACCCTCTGTGTGAATTCAGCGAATGACTAAGCTTTCTGGGAAGGCTCAGTTTTGTCCTCTTCAAAATGGGGGCGATAACCTATACGACCTGGGCCCCTATTCTCTCCCACCTTGCCTGGTCCTATACCGGACCTGGAGCCCGCTCCTCCGCCCCACTAAGGTCATAACACCAGCCTCCTCAAGATACCCGTGGCGGAGCTGGAGAGTAGGGAATACTGAGAGGTGACTTGCGGGGGGTGTGGTCCCAACGGAAGGTGCGCCTAGAGGTAGGGGTTCAACTTCGGATTTAAGGATCTGCACGGATTTAAGCATCCTTGCAAAGCCCTCCTCTCCTGCACTGTGGAAGCGGAGCTAAGTAGCGACAAGGAGCTGCCCACCCAGCCCTCGCAGGATCTCGAGGAGGAAGGCACTGCAGAGTGGGTGCCCTTCCACGACTGGGATCGCCTTCGTTTCTGTTGGCAGTCGGCGGGGAGTCGAGTGGAGCTCCTACGTACACTTTTTTTCCCCCAAATCCTAAAGCTGGCCCACCTTTGGGGAGGGGGGGCGCCAGTTCTGCCAAGTTTTCCCCTCGGTTTTGTAAAGAGGGGCTTCCTTTCACTTGCCCTGAACTACCCATTCGGGGCTTCAGCGGGGCGCGAGAGCGCGGGGCTGGGCCAGGCAAAGCCGCCGGTGCTGCCCCTCCAGGATTTCCTGCACTCCGCGCGCGGCGAGGTCTGCTCGAACTTCGGCCTCCGCCGAAGGCAACGCCGCTTCCTTTAAAATGCAGAAACTCCCAGTCCACACCCCCGCCCCTGGGGCCGCCTCCTCCCCCTTCCTCCTCGGCCCCCGCCCAGGCCCAGGCTCCTCCCAGAGCCCTCAGCGTGGGGGCCTCCCTGCCACCTGCCCGCTGCCCATCCCACATGCAAAGCGTGACCGCCGGGGAAAGGAAGCCGAGCGCGCGCCCACACCGGCCCTGCGCTGCGGCGACAGCGAGCAGCTCGCCTACTCCGTCCGTCTGCGCTTACCCAGCATGCACTTCCAGGCCCAGAGCTATCTCGGAGCCGCAGCCCTGGGGTCAGAGCGGCCGGAAGAAACAGGAAGTTTGGGACGGTCCTAGTCGTGGGGCCGAGAGTCCTAAACGGCAGGCCCTTAACTCCGCGCTGCCTCTCCCTTCCCCCGCGCCCTCCCTCTGGCCGACTTCCCTGGGGTCCGTTTCGGGGGCTGGCCTGAACTCCAAAAATCCAGATGTGTTTGGGGGTCATTCAAGGCGCACTCCCAGGGTTCCCTTCGCGGTAGCATCTCCTGGCTTTATGGATTGAGGGGCGGGAGGGGAGGGAATGCTCCCGCCCTGGTAGGGTGGTAGTCCCCGAGGGTGACTGGTCTTTTGCCCGCGGAGAGGGGAAAAAGTCGCTAGATTGCGACGGGGCTGGGGTGGGGGCTGGGGATCGGCGGCCCAGGGCCAACCCTTGGGCGGCTAGGGCAGTGGTTAGAACCTGGTGTGGAGTCCAGGGTTATTGCCTCTCCCTCCCCTCTGCTAGTTAGCTGCGCTTTAATCTGCTTTCCACACGGACTCGCCCTGGCCCATTAGTCTCGGCAGCCATCTCACAGACCTGCACTGCTGTCCACCAGGGGCACAGCACGAGGAAGAGGAGGATCCCTAATGAAACCGCCCCCCCATTCCTGGTGCAGAAAAGGGCGTGCACTGTGAGAGGTGACCCTCTCTCACCCTCACATCCCTTTGGCCAGCCAGGAAGGAGTAGATTCTCAGCACCCATGGCCTCTCGCTCAGTCCTCACCCCAGCATTGACTAAACCAGTGACCTAGGCAACCTCAGCTGTCCCCACTTGAGCCTCTCACTGGCCTACAGGTGACAAGGGTATGGGGCACAGTGGAGCCCATAGGCTGTTTGGATCCCAGGATGCCATCCATTTGGCCAACCGGCTTTGGATGGTGTAGACAAGCCCTTGGTGTAGACACACTCTCTTCCCATAGCCTCACACTCCCAGCCCAGGAGCTTCTTCCAGTTTGCAAAGGATTTCCAAGTTCTTCACGCCTTCTACGGGTCACTATGTCTCTCCCTAGATTTGCTGAGAGAAAGGGGTGCAGGGGGAAAAAGGATGACTATTTGGGGAGTGGGAAAGTGAAGGTGAAAATGCATTGGCTGTAGAATGATTGTAAAGAGGGGCTGCTAGAGGCATAGTTTCTGTTCCAGACACCCCCGCGCAGAAGTAATTGGTCTTTCCTCTGTACTCCCATAGCATAGGATTTATACCCATCCTCACGTTGTATTGTACATGGTGATCTCCTGGAAGGCAGAAACTATGCCTTAGAGTGGAGCTCACAAGAAGGCTGTTGGAGAAATGAACTTTATCTAGATGACCTCCAGGATCTGGTTCACACCTGTATTCCGTGATGCAGTTCACACGTGCACCCGTGGATACAGTCACATTCATTCAGACACAAACAAACGGGGGCAAATACAAATGCCATCATGCCACAGTGTGAGTGTCAGTCTAGGACCACTCTGGGAAGTGAACAGCTGTTGCATGATGCCAAGGAACTGGCCTTTGGAAAGCTGCATCTCCAAACCTAAACGTCTGAAGTGGCGACAGCCAACATCACAACTGGTTTGGCTGATTTTTCTTTCACTGCCCTGACTTTTCAAGTAGCCACAGCCCTAGAAACAGTGTAGAAACATGAACACTTGAGCTGAAAGGGCACTCTGAGATGCTCCAGTACAAGTCTCTTCGTTTTTACAGATGAGAAGGTCTCTGGTCCAGAGTGACTCAGGAGCAGAAGTAGTCCTGTGTTCTTGATACTTGGAGTGTGCACACGTGTGACACGTTTGTATGCAAACACCTGCTTGGATCTACACACATGGCTGCTGCCATGCACGGACATGGGTGCATCCTGAGACACGTGCCACCAATGCACACCGGCACACCCTTCCCCCAATTCCCAAAAGGCAAGCCAGGATGGCCTCATCCCCACTTGGGAAGAGGCAGGGCTGCTGTTGCTGAGGGAAGGGAGGGCAGAGATCCTTCGGCCCCCAGACAGCCAGGGCAGATAGGCACAGAGAAGCCTACAAGTTTGCAGCTGTCACTTAAGGTGCTCTGCTCCCCCTGCTCGCCTAGGCTCTCTTTTCCCCGTCTGCAGAAGGATTCCTGCCCATTCCAGGGAGTGTGTGTGTGCTGCAGGGCAGCAGGTGTGGCGTGTGAGCAAGCGGTGCACCTCTGCCTGTTGCCTCACACTTTGGGGGCTGACAGGCCACTCCCCCCCCACAACAAAGCTCATTCCCCACCCCACCACTGGCTTCTCTTCACATGCGCATGGTTAAGGCAAGCAGAACCCCCTGGGGAGCCCTTCTCAAAAGGAGAGAAATTATGGCTTTTTCTCCACCTTAAACTTTTCCTAGGGAATCCCCTCACTGAGCCCCACCTCCAACTGGAAGCCTCCACAGACTTAACCCCCAACCTGTATCTGATGGCTCCGTTACAGCGCACTCCGTCAACACTCAGGTGCCTGCATCCCAATCTTTGGTCGGTGGCTGCGTGAGTTTTCCTCAGGAGGGTCCTCTCGCCACCCCCCCAACCCCATCCCTGCCTTGAGTTTGTGCCATACCATACAGCTGGCAAAGCACTTTCCCATACACATTTTCTTTCACCTGTACCCCAACAATATTTGAAGGCAAGTATCCCTAGCTTCGTTTTCCACACCAGGAGACTGAAGTTCAGAGAAGTACTACAAACTACCCAAGGTCACACAGCTTACACGTGGGGAGTGGGGCAGGGCTACATTCTCCTTTGACTGACCAAGTACACACCATGCCCACTTTACCGTGGCTGATGCCGGGCTCCTAAAATGGAGGGAAGCCTCTTTCTGTTTCTTTGGTACCTCCAGGGTTCCTGATGGAAATCTGTATACAGTTGGCATTCCAAAGACCTGGGTAGCCAGATAGACCCATGAAAGGACCTGTCAGGGAATCCTGGAAATTCCAGGACAAAAGAGGCTAAGGCTAAGGGTGTTGTGCACCATTAATCTTTGCAGAAGTGCCTACCCTGAAGGCCCGAGAGAGCATCCTCCGTGTACACCTCGGCGTGCCCCTCCCCCTCTTCTGGGGCTTCAGCGTGTTCAGAGCTCATGGATAAAGCTAATACTGGAACTAGTCATCTGCTAGTGGGAACGGGACCACAGTCTAGATCCTACCTTGCGGGGATGGGTTGTGCCAACAGAATGCCCTGAGGCCCCACCCCTTTGTGCAGGCTGGCTGGAACAGAGGGCGCCCCCCCCCCAACACTGTGCCTCACTCTTTTAAGAGTCACGGTTGATTTCCCCGGAGGGCCTCCCCATTAGGCAGCGCCCCCAGCCCCCACCGGACTCCCTCACTGTACCTGGGCCCCCGTCCCGACTGTCCTCAGGGGCTGGGCCAGCCCTAGGGCAAGCTGGGGCAGGAAGTGGTTGCAATTACACACTCCCGCCCCTCGCTGGCTGCCACCGCCTGAGCGACAATGCTACCGCGGCCGGCCTCAAACGTCAGGGCAGCGGCTGGAACAGGGCTCGGCCCGGGGACTCCTGGGCTGGATCGAAGCTCCTTTCTTGAGCAAAGGGAGTTTGCGAGGTTGGATGAGGCTGAAGCCTCCACTGACTGCTGCTGATCACGTTCGGGAGTGGAGGAGGTCTCCGACCCCACCCCAGCATGGCAGTCACTCTGCAGCGTCATCCCTTTTTAACCGGGCCACCAGCAAAAAGCAGCTTTCGCCGGCTGTTTGGGCCCCCTGCACGCAACTGCCAAGACAGACCGCTCTGATCTGTCCGACTAGGAGGGGACAGGCTTTGATCCTTCACTACCGCTTGCACATGGTTTTACATCGCCCTATTCTGCCCTGGTTTTGTAGGCATTCCCATCTGGGGCCGGTTCGGGGCCAAGTGGAGGGTGGGACTGGTGTGGCCACAGCCATGACATAAGAAGCGTGCAGAGAAGAGCGGTGGCTGGCAGAGTAAGCGAGAAAGCATCTTGAGCTTGGGAAAATGGGGCTACATTAGAGAAACTAAGCAGCTCGGAGTTAAGGTGGACAGAGAGTGCCAGGCAGTGAGGATGAGACAAGTGGGTAGGGTTTTGGTTTTTCTTTGTCATTAAACAAAAAGGCCTGGAAACCCAGGAGGATACAACTGGGACTCTTTCTTGGCCATCACTACATCTTCAGCAGGCATAAGCTCCCGGGCTGTGTCTGCACCTTGCTAAGCCTGCACCTGGTACCTCCCCAGCCTTGGAGCCCCATTTCACACCCTCCTAACATGGGCTTTTCCTTGTCCTACTGAAACTGCTCCCCTTCTCCCAGGCCCAGGCCTGCCCAATTTGCTAAGGCGGGCTAGGGCTCACTTTAAGGCTGTCCAAAAAGGAAGGTCTCCCCTCCCCCATCCCGCCGATCCTGGCAGGAGCCAAAGGCTTTCTGTGGCAGATGGACAGATCACAATCAGATCATCTTTGAATATGAAGGACCCTGGCAGGACACAGGCTCAAATAAGGGACTAGCTTTGGAAGTGTTTTGTAAACTATTAAGTTCTATGTAGATGTGAAGGATTACTCGTATTAGGATCCTGACAAACTTTCATCTTTGTCCCGTGGATGGGGTTTATTCAACACTCTCCTTCCTACAGGCATATGACAGAGCCATTGCAGCCCTGGCTGTTTGGGCCCCCTGCATGCATCATGCATGTGTGTGTGTGTGGGGGGGGTTGTGTGTGTCTGTGTGAAAGAAAGACAACAAGAAAGAGAGAGACAGAGAAAAGAGATCTCTGGGTGGAACCCCTTCCCTTAACAGCTATACCCTGGTAAAATGGATTATAATGAACAAGAAGGAGAGACTTGAAAGGGAGAAGACCAGGGCCAGCGCTGTGGCATAGTAGGTTTAGCCTCTGCCTTTGATGTCAGCATTCCATTTGGGCACTGGTTCAAGATCCAGCTGTTCCACTTCCAATCCAGCTCTCTGCTATGGCCTGGGAAAGCAGTAGAAGATGGCCCAAGTACTTAGGCCCCTGCACCAGCGTGGGAGACCCAGAAGAAGCTCCTGGCTCCTGGCTTCCTATCATCCCAGCTCCGGCCATTGCCGCCACTTGGGGAATGAACCAGCAGATAGAAAACCTCTCT